CTTCACTGGCCCAAGTTGGCACCATCATTGCGCTCTTCCCGGGCGAGGCAGATGAGTTGCTGGCTTCTGGATGGCAGCTCCTGGCGGCTGCTGGCCGCTCACGCTGGCTGCTGGCTACACACGATAGCCCATGGCAACCCACTGCAACAGGGACTGCAGTCTCCAGCGACTCATAGCAGCCCAGCTCCAGGTTGAGCTGTTGTTCAGCATCTTAGCTGTAGAGGGCAGTGTCCCTAGCCCTCATATGTGGGATCCGAACCGGGGTCCTCTGGCGTCGCAAGCCAGCTCTTAACGAACGCGCCACTCGGCCGGCCCCAAGTTGGCCTATTTCTGAAGAGTCAGGAAGGGAAACAGTACTGAGGCAAGGGGTGTGAGAGTCTGGCCTTGCCCAGTGGCCCAGGACTAGATAATGAAGGAAGAATCTGCAGGAAGGTGGGACAAAGCTTTTGCAAGCAGGAATTGAAGGTGTTCATGTCTTAGAGAATTGAAGGCTGGAGCCAACAGGCACAGGAGCAAGGGCACAGGGTGTGGAAGAGACCTGGTGTGAGGGAGAAGACAGGTTTTGGGTGGTTACATTTTCCGCCATCTTCCAATCCAGTGCCTTTATTGGCCTGCCTCCTGAACTGATCTGTACAGTGTGATGGGGCTAGTCTTCCACCTCTCTGAAGCCTTCCCTGTCACTCAACCAGAAGCAAACAGGGTCTTATTTCCTATGGGCATATTTATGCCATGACGTGGCACTTACGGAGCAGCCATTAATGTCTGCATCTCTTACCAGCTGGATTTTCAGTGGAGCCCTGGACAACACGGATGCTCCAGTGTTTCTTGGGCGAATGTTACTGCTGCTGAAGTAACATCATTAAAACAAGCATCCCCACCTTTCACGTGTACCATATGCTGGGCACTGTGCCAGTGCTTTACCCCCTGTCTCACTGAATCCTGGCAACCCTCGCATATGGGGACTATTTTTATCCTCATTTTACAGATGGAGAAACCAGGGCTTAGGGAGGTTGAGTAAATTGCCCAGTGCTTTTTCAATTAAGTTTCTTCCCAGCTTTTCAAGACTGGCAGGGCTGTGACTCAGACCATGAGGTTTGTCTCATGTCGAACTGGTGCTCTCCCCCTCTGCTCTGTGCCAAGCCCTCCAGGGCTCCTTTCTGGGAGAATGGGTCTGAGAATCTTGGTGCCTCTCCCCGTACCCCCCACTCTGGCCCTATATGCACAGCCTGCTCAGCCCCTCATTCCTGACCTCCTGCCTCACCTGCCTCCCCATCCCCATTCCTGCCTCTGTCCTCACCTCCCAAGCTCAGAGAGCCAGCATGTGACAGACCCCTCATTTAGGGTGTGTATGTGGTGGACTCTGTAGGTGGTATGCTCCTTCTCCACTGCTCCCTTGCCAACTTGATACTCCCCCCATCACTTGAGTGGCAAATGGCATTTACTATCTGCGTTGGTGGTTAAAAAAAAAAAATGCACATGCCCCACTTCTTATTCTGCAAGTCTAGGTAGGGCCTGGTACTTTTTATTTATTTATTTATTTTAACTGAGAAGATTTAATTTTTAAAAAAGACAACACGATTTCCAATAGTACCATAGTAAAGAAGTGTACATATAAATAAAGTATAATAAATCTGTTTTCCATTCCTGGCTCTCAGTCCTGCAACCACTACTATTTTATGCATATCTACGTCTATGTAAATGCATGTGTTTGTATTGTGCACAAATGGTAGCATACTATAATACTGTTCTACTTTTCTCACTTCATGTATTTTGAAGATTGTTTCATATCTGCACATGTCTAACTCTAATGTCTGCAGTATTCCATATTCCATGGTAGATATGAGCTATAACTTATTTAACCAATGCCCTTTAGAATGACTTTTAATCCTTGTTTTTTAAAACAATGCTGCAATGAATATGGCTTTGCCCACATGCATAACTATATCTGTAGGGTAAACTCCTGGATATTGGATAGCTGGATCAAAGGATATAAGGATTTGTAATTTTCATAGATTTTCCCAAACTGCACTCTAAAGAGGCTGAAGGAATTTATATTTCCCCCATCAAATGTATGAAGGCATCTGTATTTTTAAAAAGCTGCTCTGGTTATTCTTGGGTAGCTGAGGTTGAGACTCAACCCATGACCTTGAGGTACCTGAAATATAAGTTTCTCCTGGGCCGCAGCCCACTTGGGGACTGGAGGGTGCTTCTGCCTGTCCCCTGCCTGACATGTCCTTCTCATCCTTCTCCCCACTCCGGCCAGGACACAGAGTTGCAGAGAAAGCTAGACCATGAGATCCGGATGAGGGAAGGGGCCTGCAAGCTGCTGGCAGCCTGCTCCCAGCGTGAGCAGACTCTGGAGGCCACCAAGAGCCTGCTGGTGTGCAACAGCCGCATCCTCAGCTACATGGGCGAGCTGCAGCGGCGCAAGGAGGCGCAGGTGCTGGGAAAGACAGGCCGGCGGTGAGCGAGGGGGAGATCAGGACATCCAGGGGAGGGGGATAGTGGTGCAGCATGTATGCATTTGGAATGTGGGCCACCCGGAAGCTGACCTCCCCATCTCAGGGACCTGGAAGACACCTTGGTGCTTCACCACCGCAGTGTGCTGCCCAGAGGTCACTACTGAGTAGCTAGGGCTGGATTCAGGAAAGCCAGGGTATCTGGCTGAAAGGCTGGCAGTCTGAGGAATAGTAATGCAAAAGCGCTAATTTGATAACCCTGTTGGATCTGATGCGGCTGGCTGGCTGGCTTCTGGAAGGCCAATTTTCTCAAAGCCAGTTCACCAAATGGCCAATTTGCTGAATGGCCAATTTACCACAAACTGACAATAGTTCATTTTACCTGGGGTTCACCATCAGAGGCAGGGATGGTGGAAGGAAATAATTAAAAAAACAACAACAAAAGAAAACAAAAAGTATTTAAGGGAAAGCCTGGCCCTTCACATAAATTAGATTGTGCATTCTAAAAGGGCTCAGCTTCTGTATGTGACATACAATGACATTATACTCTGCTGATCTGACCGATCTGCAGGGAAATGGTTGAGATGATGTTCTGATAATACTGAAACGTTGGAGAAAATATTTGGCAAATTGATCATTCCAAGAATTGACCATTTTTGGTAAGTTGGTCATTTGGAAAATTAGCTTCTGGCAAAGTAGTCTGCTTGAGCCCGCAAGGCTGAGTGGGAGAAGGTCCCAGTTCAGCCATGAAGGCTGACACAGAAGCCGTCTTGGAGCTCCCCCACGAAGCTCCAGGAAACCCATTCTATACTTGCCCCATAAAGCTGAAGGAAGGGCAAGCAGGAAGGGGGACAGCTTCTACTATGAGTTTGTTGTCTCCTGAGAGGCAGCCATCAACAGTCTCTGCCCTGCCCAAGTCCCCACATGGCCTAGACAGTGTGACTTGAGGTACACCCCAAGTCCCTGACAGCTAACCACATTGCCATCAGTGCCACATCATTTAGCTTAAGGCCTAAGTCGCTAATTACATCGGTGGCATTATGAATTAGTATAGGTAACTGGCTGTCACCTTAGAGAGGGACACGTGCTTGGTGGGTCCTGACACTGGGCAGGGAAGTGAGGAAGGCCGGGTGTCTGGGGCCCTGCAGCGGGGTACTAGGGAACTTGGGGCACTGAGAAGGCTCAGCCTATCTAGCCAGGAGGTAAAGGAGAAATCAAAGCGAGGGGGAGGAGAGAGGTTTGTGGCAAATGGAACACAAATGTTCCCTACTTGGGTTTTTTTCCCCTTTCATCGAACACTGGTCAACTTGATTTTATGACTGACCCACTACCCTCCTATATCTAAGAAGTGATGAGATGGTAGAGATGAGCAGCTTCCCTTATTAGAAAGCCTGTAAACTCCTCCAAGCCTGGGGTTGAGTGAAGAGCCCTTGAAAGGGAATCTCTCTGTGGGCCCCTGTCCCCTCAAGCCCACTGGTCCTTGGCAGGAGTCTGGGGAAGGAGGGTGCCTGGAGGGGGAGGAGTCCTGAGCTTGTACTGTGTGTGAACGAACGTGCCTCTAGTGACCCCAAGCCCAGCAACGCCCTGGGTTCAACCTACACGTTCTAACAGTCCCTCTGGCTGGGGACCTAGGGGCTACCCGGGTTGGGGAGGGGGCGGTCTTAGAGCCCTTGGGAACCACAGCCAGGGGGAGTAGTGTCTGGAGGCCAGGCTAGGATGCTGTGATTTGCCCGCAGGCCTTCTGACAGTGGGCCGCTCGCTGATCGCTCCCCTTGCCGAGGCCGGGTCTGCATCTCTGGTAAGAAGCACAGTTACTCCAGCCTCTGGTGCTCCTTGCCCAACCCCAAGATCTCCTGCCCCATCTCAACATCTATTCCTACCCCTCTGCCCCTTAGACCTCCGGATTCCACTCATGTGGAAGGACACAGAATATTTCAAGAACAAAGGTGGTGAGTTCCACACACACTGGGACAAATCCAGGGGAGTGATGCTGAGTTTGGACGCTCCTATGTGGGTGGTTTTGTTTGTTTGTTTGTTTTTACCCGTTTTGTTCTCTTTGTCGCCAGACCTGCATCGCTGGGCTGTGTTCCTGCTGCTGCAGCTAGGGGAAGACATTCAGGACACAGAGATGATCCTGGTAGACAGGACCCTCACGGACATCACCTTTCAAAACCATCTGCTCTTGTGAGTACCTCATCCCTGTGGCTCCCCACTCTCTCCACTCTGCTTCAGTGCTCTGATGAGGTAGCTACAGGGGAGGGGAGGAGAGAGAGGGGCCTTCCGGTGGAGTTGTCCTAAGCTTGTATCACATCCATCCTCCACCCCACTCCCACCCCTCATGCCTCCCTGGACTTCTCCAGGACCATCCTTCTCTCTTCCTCCCACACTTCTATAGCACTGAGGCAGGGCCGGACTTTGAACTGCGGCTAGAACTGTATGGGGCCTGCATGGAAGAGGAAGGGGCCCTGGCTGGCGCCCCCAAGAGGCTTGCCACCAAACTCAGCAGCTCCCTAGGCCGTTCCTCCGGAAGGCGAGTCCGGGCATCGCTGGAGAGTGCTGGGGCTTCGGGTAGCAGTCCCATCCTGCTCCCCACCCCAGCTGTGGGGTAAGGCCCTGCATTCCCCCACTGCCCTCAAATGCCTATCCTGGCCACGGGTGACCTCTGAGCTGTGGGGAGCATGTAGAACCTACTTTGCACTCCTGCCAGGACATGCAGACAGACATGGATGAGCAGTGGCCACATAGCTGAGAGGCACTCATAGCTGGGCCCAAGCCAACTAGAAGACCAATAGGAATGCAGGGAGTGCTAGGCTCCCGGGTCTTCACTTTTTTGCAGCAGCAAATGCATCTTACGTGGATAGAATGCCATGGTTGGAGGAGGGTGGTGGCCTGGGCTCTGTGGTGGTGCTTGCAGGTGACTGGAAACACCCTGTGGAACCACTGGGCCTCTGAGGAGCAGTTTGAGAACCTCTAGGGCAGCAGTTCTCAACCTGTGGGTCCGACCCCTTTGGGGGTCGAACGACCCTTTCACAGGGGTTGCCGGGTACTCGTATGTGGGCGTATCTGCATGTGGGCGTATCTGCATGTGGGCCTGGAGACGGATAGAGGAGCGGTATCTCGGTTCCTAAGACCATCAAAAATATGTGTTTTCCGATGGTCTTAGGCGACACCTGTGAAAGGTTGAGAACCGTTGCTCTAGGGTAATGAACAGAATGCTGATTTTGAAGACAGATATGGGTTCAAATTCCAGCTCCACCTCCTACCAGCTATAAATTATGGGCAAATTTCTTAACCTCTCTATGCCTCAAGCTGCCTCATCTATTAACTAAAGAATGCCATCAACCCCATGGGGCTGTCATGGGAATACAGTAGGATAAGATATATAAAGCACAGGATCCGGCACTTAGCAGGAGCTCAGTAATCGTTTGTTCCAACCCCTGTAGGGGAGGCAAGCTAGTTATCGGTGGGGCTGCGGGAACAACAGGGCAGACCCACTCAGCCTTACAGCACCTGCCATCTAACATGGCCCTCACTCGCCCTTCACTTGGCTGAGGCCCATTTCTCCATCTGTCCTGCAGTGGCCCTCGTTACCACCTCTTAGCTCATACCACGCTCACCCTGTCAGCAGTGCAAGATGGCTTCCGCACACATGACCTCACCCTTTCCAGCCATGGTGAGTATGTGTGTATGGGGGACACTGGATGGTGAGAAGAGGGGCCATTGGATGGTTCCATTCTGATTTCCCACCCTCCCCTCCAGAGGAGAACCCTGCCTGGCTGCCCCTTTATGGTAGTGTGTGTTGCCGCCTGGTGGCTCAGCCTCTCTGCATGACTCAGCCCACTGCAAGTGGTTCCCTCAGGGTGCAGGTGAGGGGCCCTGCAGAGTGGAGGAGAATGGGAGAAGGCAGAGCAGAGCGGGACCACATGGGAATGGAAGGACTACTGAAAAATCAAGACCTGGGTAGAAGGAGGGGTATGGCAAGATGGCAGGATGCGCGGAGAAGAGGGCGGGCAGAAAGGAGCAGATTTTTGATTGGGGGCGGGGCTGGGAAGAAGGGTGTTGGGGAGGGGGGGTGATTCCCCCAGGAAACCTTGAGTCATTTATGCAGCAAGCTGGGGAGCGGCAGGACTGGGCACGAGTGCACGGAGTCCTGAAAGGCACAAACCTCTTCTGTTACCGGCAACCTGAAGATGCAGACACTGGGGAAGAGCCACTGCTTACTATTGCAATCAACAAGGTGATGGGTCCCCTGGTGGTCAAGTCACCAGGTACTGGGGCCCCAGGAGTCTCTCCTTCAGGCCCCAGGAGGGGGGGCACAGACCTCAGGGAGATGACAGCCTCGTGCTGCTCACAGCACCATACCCAGCGGCAGGGCCAGGAATGCCGAGGGACCATATTCTCCCCAGTCAGCATCAACTGGAAAATGTTGACCCTTCTACTCACCAGCCTCAGCCCCTACCCGTTCTCAGGGAGGATTCTACAGCCAGTTTGGGACTTTTCATCCTCCTTCCATCTTCCCCCTCAGATTCTGATCTGCATCTACTCCACCCTTACCTGGTTTCCTCTGCCAACCCAAGTCCAATGACCCCTCTGTCCCCTAGCCCTTTTGCTGACTTTCCTGCCAGCTTCTATGGAAACAGTGAGGGACCTTAGGCCGCCGCCCTCCTACCCGCCTCCATGGCTTCCCCACCCAATCTCTCTTTCCTTGACTGAGGACCGTCTCATCCCCGGTCCTTTCCTACCATTCCTGTCCACTCTGGTCAGTAGGAGGCAAAGGAGAGGGCTTGGTGAAAGCCCCACAAGCTCCTCTTTCCAAGGCAGGGCTGATCGAGCCTGCCTGAAGTCCCTACTGACTTCTGTGGCCAAGGTGGAGTTGGAAGCAGACCCCTTTTTTCCTTCTGCAGGAGACTCGAGTCCGGGCAGGGGAGCTGGACCAAGCCGCAGGCCGGCCCTTCACCCTGAGCATCAGTAACCAGTATGGGGAGGACGCAGTGACACACACCCTTCAGGCAGAGAGTCGGGGAGCCCTGCAGAGCTGGATGGAGGCTCTGTGGCAGCTTTTCTTTGACATGAGTAAGAGGAAGGGGCTGTATTGAACCTTTGGGAGGAATTGGAGTTTGTTATTTTTACCATAAGCCTCTGTTTCAAGGGTGTGTGGGAGGGAATGTAGCAGGGGAGAGGGTAGCCTGGCCCTCTCAGTCCTGCCCCCCTCCGCCCCCAATCAGTGCTCTCCCTTCAGGCCAGTGGAAGCAGTGCTGTGATGAAATCATGAAGATTGAAACCCCTGCTCCCCGGAAACCACCCCAAGTACTAGCCAAGCAAGGGTCCTTGTACCACGAGATGGGTGAGTGAGTGAAAGTATACTCTGGGAACCTGATGGGTAGTGGGATTGGGGCTTCAAGGGAACCCAGATAATGGAAACAGTCGGAAAGTATACTTTGGGCTAAGGCAGAGCTCTGGGGACCCGAGTCTCACCCAGTCCTGTGTATTCCTTTTTCTTCTCCAATTCTTAGAACCACCTCCACCAAAGTTCAAAACAAAACCCCAGAGAACCAGATTCATCTCATGGATTTCTTTCCTAATTTCTTCTTTTTTGTTTCCCTTTCTGCATGCGGATTCCTGTCTCTTCCTCTGATCTTCACTTGCATGGCACTGCTTTCCTTTTCCTCCTCTTTCTTGATTTTTTTCACCCACTTCTGCCCACCCCCCATCCCTATCCACACTGTACTCTGTATCCCATAGTCTTATCGGACCCAGAGGCTCCAGGGGGCCCAGGTGAGGGGCTGCTCCTGCAGGATAATGCAATCTCAGCTGAGATCCAAGCTTTGCTTTCCTCCTATTACAGCGACAGGTGATGGTCAGGGCTGGGTAGGCCGGGGGCCTAAGCTCTGACTAGCCCCCTCCCCTTAACCCCTTCCCGGTGCCACAGCTATTGAGCCGCTGGATGACATTGCAGCAGTGACAGACATCCTGGCCCAGCGGGAGGGCACGAGGCTGGAGACGCCCCCGCCCTGGCTAGCCATGTTTACCGAACAGCCTGCCCTGCCTAGTCCCTGCTCGCCTGCCTCAGTGGCCCCAGCTCGGACCCACCCCCTGCCCTGGGGGCGACCCCGAACGTTCTCCCTGGATGCTGCCCCGCCAGACCACTCCCCTAGGGCTTCCTGCTCCATTGCCCCTCTCCCCCCGCATCCATCGCCACGGTCCAGAGGCCTCTGCAGCAAAGGCGCGCCCCGCACTTGGCTCCAGTCACCGGTGTGAAAGAGAAAGGTACTGGCAACAGGTTTGGCCAGAAGAGGAGATGACCTGTGTGCAGCTGGGCTCTGGATATGGTGCTGTCTGTAGCAGGTTGGCCAGCTTGGCCTCCCCTTCCTCTGCTGGACTGGGAGCAGGCTGGAGGCGGGGAGCAGAAGCCCCTCAAAGCTGTGGTCGCCGTGGTGTTGAGGGACTCATTCCTAGGGCTGGCTGGGACCCCCTAAACCCTTCCTGGGAGAAAACTGGAACCAACCCTGCCCTACCTCCTGCACTAACCAGCTTTGAGGATGGCACTGAAGAGCCCTGAGAGGGAACGCACCTCCCTTGTGGCTCCCACATTAACCATTAAAGTTATTTAACAGCAGCCTTCACCTGGTTCTTGACCACAGGTAGCCTCTCTGCTTAGTCTGGACATGCTCCATCCCTCCTCTAGGAGCTTAGTTTGTTGTGAAGGATGACTGCTAGCTGAATAATGAGACAAGGGCTAGGTGTTGGAGGTACTTTATAAATACCACAGGGAGAAAGGAGGGCTGCTGTCCTCTCACACGCTGCTGAATCTTAGGATCTCAGCAAGGTCGTAGCCAGTCACAGCAAAGGAGCTGCCTGAGGGATCACAGAATCGGGCACCACACACCTGGGTGTCGGACACACACTCACCATGGCAGTGTTCCACCTGGGAGAGAAGAGGCGCTGCTCAGGGCCTGCTGCCCCAGGCTTGGGTTCCCCACTCTACTCCTCCAGCCCAGGGGTCGGCAAACTTTTGAGACGGAAGAGCCAATCCTGTCCCTCACAACAATTTAAAAATTATTCAAGAGCCATAAAACAAATCACCATTATGTGAATAATAGCCTTTAAAATTTTTATAAATGAAACTATGATAGTTTTATTTTCATTTTCAATTTTACTTCAGAGCCACATGTACGTACCCAAAGAGCTGCATGTGGCTCGCAAGCCGCAGTTTGCCGACCCCTGCTCTAGCCACACATACCTCAATATGGCCACTCTCTGGGCTTCTGCTCAGCTTCCAGATGTGTACAAAGGTGTCCTCGGCCGCAGACAGTAGCTATTTTAAAAAGGCAGGGAAGACGAGTCAGAGTTGGAAGATGCTGACAGGGGACTGGTATAGCTGGACTGTCCAGACCAGGTGTCCAGGCAGAGGCATACACCAAGGGGTAAAGACAAGCTTATACAGTTTCTCAACATCCCAGCACCAGGAACAAGGAATCTAGGGATGGAGAAGGAGACTGACCTTGCCCACCTCGGGAGCCAGGTCCAGGGCAGAGATGGCCCGGGCATGGGCGTTGATCTGGACATGTAGAATTCCTGTACTGGCCTCATACAAACGTACTTGCCCATTCCCATAGCCTGCTGCTACAGTCCCCTGCCACAGCTGCACGGAAGTACATGGGACCCTGCAAAGGTGATGCCCCATTTTAATTTCCCCAGACCCAAGCACACTCCCCACCCTGAAGCTACCTCAGGAAGGCCTCAGCTCCTTCTGCCTCACCTACCCAAATCCTGGAATGCGGGTCGATAATTTGAATTCGGGACCTGACTGCCAGACACATAGCAAGCCTGAGTCATCTGCCGTCACCATGTCAGCCATGCAGTCCTGAGGGGAAAGGCAGGATCAGCCCTTCCCTTTCTTCCCTGCTGGGTCCTACATACAGGGGAAGGGAGGCAGTGTTTATTTGCATCTTTGCCTCTCCAGGGAAAGGAAAGATGTGGAGCCCTCACAGGCTGGACCCAGCGTTCCCTCAGGAAGCATAACATGTTTTCCTTGCATTCCTCAGTCCCTTCCCACACACACACACCACGTGTCAGAGGAGGCAGCATATTTGTCCTCAGTGGATGGATGATGAAACTGAGGCCATAGGGTTGTGACATTCCTGAGGTCTAACAGTCACAGTCATGACTAGACGTGGCCTCTTGACCCCCAACTCTAGGCAGCCAACGTAGTCCCATGGGCCTAGCTCTTGGCCAGCTTCAGTAGAGAATATGAATTAGAAGATACAAACCCTGTTCTCAAGAGATTTGCAATCCAATTAGAAACATAAGAGTTGTCTTTGAAAGCAGGACCAATTCAGGGTTCAGCTAAGGGAGATCAGTGGGAGCTGGAATAGGGGGAAGGCTTCTTGGAGGTGGTAGCACTGGAGGTGGGCCTGAATAGGTAGGACTTGCCCAAGTCCAGAGAAGGAAGCTGCACATGTTACAGCTGAAAAGCATCTCAGAAGCCATCTGTCCCAACTCCTCAATTCATGTCAGCATTGAAAAGTGTTGGGGAACTATTAAATGCTATGTAAATGTAAAGTATCTCTGGCTTTATCACTGGACCTCAGGTTGCTGATACCTAAGAAAGTGCAGTAATTTGCCCCAAGTCATCCAGCCACTTAGTGGCAGAGCCAAGACTTGAATTCAGGTCTGTTGCCTCCCAAGGTGGGGAAGGATCCCGGGCTCACTGCAATTGGAAGGGGGAATCCACTCACCTGTCCTTGGGCAGGCTCGCTGGCAATGTCTGTGATTGATGTTGGGTGCGCAGCCAGCTCTTCACTCAGTACAATGTTGGGACCTTTGGCTGGGATGTCAAATACCAGTACCCGGCCTGACCACGTTCCTGCAGAAGCAGTGCATCCTGGTCCTCCCTATTCTCCAGCCACCATACTCAGCGCTCCCTCCATCCCAGAATTCTTAGGAACAAATTCACTGTTCCAAGATCCCTGCCTCTCCATGATACCCTTATTCTATCCTACCCTGCCCCTCTGAACCCTTCCATGCCTTTTTGGGTCTCTCATACCCCCCTTTACTTCCACCCTTCCCTCTAACCCTCCACAATTTCCTTCAGCATCCTCCTGGCCAAAGTCCACACTCCAATACCCCAGCAGCCCCCAAAGCCCTGCCCTTGGGTCCCTCACCCACACAGATGAAGTGGCCACTGGAAGCAACTCCTCGGGCAAACACAGCCTGTACTGAGTATGAAAGGGGAAAACTATTACAAATAGAGCCCCCTCCAGCCCCAGAAAACTCTCTCTACCCTCACCCGACTCAGTCCTGCAGGTACCTGGAGAGGCATCTCCAGAGTCCAGCGCGTGCCAATAGACCATGACGGAGCCATCAGACTCATACACCTGAAAGATGAGGGCAAGGGCAGGGGCATAACCCAGCTAACCATTGCAGTACTCTGCTGAGTATGTCACATATTCATGTTAACCTTAGCCCATTTAATCCCAAAACAACTCTGACAGAAGGCACTACTTTTATTCCTATTTTACAGAGGAGGACACTGAGGCTCTGAGAAGTTCATTAAATTGCCCAAGGTCATACAGCTAGCAAAGGGGCAGATAGTGGAGATGGCACTTGAGAATTGGAAAAGATGGAAGGAATGAAGATGAGAAATAAGGAAGAGTGGGCTAAGCATGTGTAAACTTTGGGAGTGTTTAGAGGCAAGCCGGGACAGGTCTCAGGGCCTTGGCGAGGGGTTGAGAAGACTTGTGTTAGGGAGGGCAGGAAGGTCCTCTTACCTGTATTCCTCTGTGTGAGGTGAGCACCAGCAATACTCGGAAGGGGAGGACACACCAGTGGACCTGGGGGGGAGGTGGATCAGAGTAGGATGAAGTGGTCAGAGCAGGGGATGTGAGGACTCAGAAAAGTGGAAATTCAAAAGATTAGGGAAGGCCTATTCCTTGAAGTTTGGAGAGGAAAGACAGGGGTTAGGACTGGGTTCGGCAACACCACTCCTAAATCCATGCCTCACCTGGGTGATAAGTGGAGGGCTCACTCCAGCTCCCTCCTTAGCGTGGAGCTGGCGCTGGGCCAAGGGCACACCCTCAGGAGCAGCGCTCAGAAGTTGGGCGCTGGGCCCATGGACTACCCCAAAATGTGTGAGGTTGCGGACAGGCAGCTGCAGCACACTGAGGTTGTTGCACAGGGCGGCAGCAGAACCACGAAGGGGAATGGAGGGCTCCCGGCGGAACATCCTAGGGGAGAGACGCCCGGATCACCAAAAAGAGCAGGGTTAAAAAGACGACAACAGTGATTCCTGCGGGGGGTCGGGGGTGTGCCGTCAGGAAGCACTGGGGGGAGACTCCAGAGTCTGGGTCATGATGTAATGGTGGGTCCCCGAGGACGGTGATGGGGGTCCTGGCATGGGGAGGGTCTCGTGGAGTAGAGGAGGGGAGCCCTAGGGCTGTGTCATGGGGCGATGGGGGAATCCTAGAGGAGAAATGGTGATGGCACAGGACCCAGTGGTCCCAAGTGCCCGAGCCAAGGCGGGTTGAGGCAGCATAGTTCCCGGGCCCTTCCACCCTCCGTTCGGCTCCCTGAAGTCCCCGGCCCGGGTCAGAGGTCACATCAGTAGCCCCAGGTCAGCTTGCCTGACGCCAGAATCCTTCGGTCCCTCCGAATCCGCCGCCACCATAGAGACGACGCACGTACGCACGGCCATTGGGCGGGGCGAGCAACCCAAACGTACGGCGCGTGGCGCTGTTGCCGGGGTAACTGTGGGCCGGTCGAGCGGCCCTGCGCACAGTTTGGTTGTCGGTGCGACGGTTAGGCAGAGACTACAGCATCAAGGCGGGGAAGGTTGGAGAAACAGCTGCGGCGATGGCGCATGAGAGCTCGGTGAGCTTCAGCTCAGCTCGCGGTGCGCCAGAGCCGAGATCGGCCTTTAAGGTCGGTGTCGGAAACTGTGGGCCAGCTACGCGACACCTGGCGCCCGCCCGCCCACGCTGGCGTTCAGGATGACCGAGGAATCTACGTCGGACACCTGGGCAGAAAACCTACACCTGCACCACACTCACTCACACTGTCGCTTCGTTGCACTCGGATGCTGAGGGAAGGGGTCAAATGGGTGGTGCAGGGCCCAAGAACAAGAAGTGACTTGGAAATAGCTAATGCGTGTAATAAGCCTCTTAACGTTGAGGTATCTATTTAAATGTATAAACCAGGTATTGGGGAGAGGTGTTGCTAAATAAGTTATCAATTTTTAGAGTTTCAGAAGGGAGAAATGGATTAAATAACTCTGAGGCTGCACTTGAAAGTCAAAACTTGGAAATTTTAAAACAGATTTGAAGAGCCTTTGTATAACAGTATCTCTGGCATCTCTGGTCAGGCCACGTCTAGGCATGGTCACGGATGTCATGAGAGACTGGGAGGGAAAGTAAGGTAGGGACTCTCCTCTTCCAGCCCTACCTGTCCTGCTCTGGTCAAGCCTAGACCGGACTTTGGGCCATTACCTATGCTTGCCACCAGGGCTGTTCTCACTAGCAGAGAGGGTAAATGAGGCTTAAGGGATTTTGAGTACAGTGTGTGAAGTTTAGAAAACACCAGACTTGGTGGAGAATGAATTTTGGGGAACATCAGTATGAGTCAATAAAGTTGGGGGTGAGGAGGCAAAGGTTTGGGAAGATTACATTTGGAGGTAAATTTTGAAAGAAACCAAGTTCAAGGAGACTTGTGGGGTAGTGAGGAGGCTCCCAAGAATCTGCTAGTAAATTCCTATGCCTTGAAAAGACTAGTCTTTGGGACTAGTCTTTTTCTAAGTGGATTTTTCTTGATTGTAAAAGCATACAAACTAATTATAGATAACTTACAAACTAGAGAAGAGCATAGGAAAGAAACATGCCCATTGTTAAAGTTTTGGTGTTTTCCTTTTCTTCAACACATACTGGTTGACCTTACCTGAGATCATACTTGATATGTAATTTTGTATCCTGTTTCTTTCATTTAACAGGTCTTTTGCAAATTCTTCTTAAAGATTACCTTTAATAATTGCAAAATATTTAGTCATATAGATAGTGCACAATTAGCCATCTATTCTCTTTTTGTTATATGTTTTCAATATTCTGCTATTATAAATTACACCACAGGAAATATGTTGGAGAATATATTTTTATTTTCATTTCAGAATATGTCTTTGAGTGCATATATAAAACTAGATTAATATTTTTGAAGATTAGACATGTTTTCAAACGTTTATTAGTGATCTACAGTTCCACTTTTGTGAAATATCATGTTCTTTGCTTATTTTCCTTTTAAAAAAATTAATTTTTGTAATTTTTATTTTTCAATTACAGTCCACATTCAATATTATATTAATTTCAGGTATAAGGCTTTTCTTTTCTTTTCAAGATTTTATTAGGGAATTGGGGAAGGGGAACAGCCAAGTTGTTGTCCTTCAATCTTAGTTGTGGAGGACGCAGCTAGCTCAGCTCCCAAGTCCAGTTGCCACTAAGCTGCTGAGCTCAAGGCCACTCACTCAGCTCAAGGTGCCATGTTCAGTCTTAGTTGTGGGTGGGTGTAGCCCATCATCCCATGCAGGAGTTGAACCAGCAACCTTGTTGTTAGGAGCACATACTCTCACCAGCTGAGCCACTCTGCCACTTGTTGGCAGCTCAGTGGCAGCTCAGCTCAGGTGCAGCTCACTGGCCCATGTGGGAATCGAACTGGCGACTCTGTTGCTCAGAGTTCACACTCAACCGACTGAGCCATTCGGCCGGCCCAGGTTTTTCTTATTTTATGTGAGTTTTTAATATATTTATTTTTTGATATTTGCTACAAATATTTTTTGTTTAGGAAGCAGTATATAGGTGGGGTCTGGAGTCAGACTTGCATATGAATTATGACTCCACTACTTCCTTGCTGTGTGATCCTGGGAAAATTCTGTAAAATGGGTATAAAAATCATAGTCTAAAAAATGTAGGAATTGAGTCAATGTATGTGACTTTAAGTGCCAGTATTTATTTTATTTTATTTTTAAGATTTTTATTGGGGAATTGGGGATGGGAACAGACAAGATGCTGTCGTTTTGTTCTTCAGTCTACTTGTGGAGGATGTTGTTTCACTGGCCCAAGTTGACACCATCATTGCGCTCTTCCCAGGCGAGGCAGATCAGTCGCTGGCTTTTGGACGGCCGCTCACTGCGGCTGCTGGCTGCTCACGTTGGCTGCTGGCCGCTCACGCTGGCTGCTGGCCGCTCACGCTGGCTGCTGGCCGCTCACGCTGGCTGCTGGCTGCACACGGTAGCCCATGGCAACCCACTGCCACAGGGGCTGCAGCCTATGCCATTGCCAGCGACCCACGGCCGCCCAGCTCCAGGTCAAGCTGTTGTTCAGCTAAGTGGAGGGCAGTGTCACTGGCACTCATATGTGGGATCCGAACTGGGGCCCTCTGGCATCCCAAGCCAGTTCTTAACCATCGCGCCACTCGGCCGGCCCACCAGTATTTACTTTAAATGGCAGCTACTATCAGCTTGTAAGTAGGAATGTTTTAAAATGTAAGTACAGGAAAATGTGACTTATATGTATATTTACCTATTTTTAAAAATTATTATTACTTTTATGCTTAAGCAGTTCTTTCTCACCTAGAGATTATCTGACAATTTAACCTATTTTTTTCTACATTTAATTTTTTTTATTTCTGTGTGTGTGTGTGTGTGTGTGTGTGTGTGTGTTTATCCTTTACTGCATCTGGAATTTATTTAGATGTATGTACGTATATTGTGAAATGAGGATCTAAGTTGATTTGGAGGATGGGGAGGAAGAGAGGAGAGTCTAAACAGCACCAATAATTCCAGCACCATATATTGACTGTCTTTCTCAAGTTCTTTGACCTGTCAAGAACTAGTGCAAATAGCTCCAACTGGAGTTGGAGCTGTATATAGCCTGGGTTTACTGTGTGATCCCAAGCAAGTACTGGTTAACTTGTGTCACGTTTCAGTTTCTTTGTGAAATGGGCTTAGTGAGCTGTTACGAAAATTAAATTATCTATGTCAAACACCTAAAAAGCATCTGTTACACAGTATGTTCTTTTTTATTTTTTATTGTGGTACACAGTATGTTCTTAGGAATAGTAAATTGTCCCTTTTGAAAGGGTTTTCCTTCCTATTAGACAACTTGAGAAAGCTTCCTCCTACCTAGCCTATAGCTGTTTCTCTGTTCCACTCCTGGGTTGCCTGCCCTGATTGCCCTGTTCCGTTCCCACAGAGGCAGGCCCGAGACCGCGGGGTGACCCGGTCCAAGGCGGAAAAGGCACGTCCGCCTACGGTGCCCGTGCCGCAGGTGGACATCGTTCCTGGAAAGCTCACTGAAGCTGAGTGGATGGCACTCAGGGCTCTGGAGGAAGGCGAGGACGTGGTGGAGGACATCTTGGAGGAACTATTGGCACGAGTCATGGACTCTGCCTTCAAAGTCTACCTGACTCAGCAGGTGGGCCTGGATCCGGGTCCTCCAGATCCATTTCCCCACTCCCCGACAGTCCCTGCCCAGCTGAGACTCCTCTCTCGCCTCCACAGTGCATTCCATTCACCATCAGCCAGGCTCGAGAGGCCATGCTGCAGATCACCGAGTGGCGCTTCCTGGCCCGGGATGAGGGAGAATCTGCAGTGGCTGAGGACCCCACATGGGGCGAGGACGAGGAGCCCTTGCCATGTCCAATTGACGCATGGGCTCAGGGATGCGTGCCCGTGCTGCACGCGCCCGCCTCGGCGGGGCTGGAGGAGACCTACCAAAGCGAAGTAAGCCCAGCCCCCAGCTCCCTCCGACCTCCACCCTTACCCCAGCGGGATCTTCGTTCTCCTCAGGGCTTTTCTGGGCTCCTCCATCCTTAGCTCCTCTCTCCTCTTTCCGACATCTCACTACCTACCTCCTACCCCCATCCCGGGTGCATTTCCCCAGGACCAAGAAGAGAGTGTGGACCAGATTTCTTTAGGAAGATCGCGGATGGATAGAGGCTTTGAGGAGCGGATGGAATCTTGGGAGCATTCTCGCGAGCTGAGAGACACCCCCGGCACCCCGCCCACCCCGGAGCGGTTTCAGGAGGCAGGGCCCGGGTGTCTTTTAGAGGAACTGCAAGGCCAGGGAGGAGGCCACCTATCCTCGGCCAAGTCCTTGGACATGAGCCTCCAACGGTCGTCAGTCGAGATGGTTCCCGCCGGCAGTCCCCATTCTTCTGTGGAGCTGTCCCTGGTAGCCAGCCCCCAGGAATCAGCCGAGAGGGCACGGCCCCCCAGCTCCCAGTTCTCGAGGGGGGAGCACTACAGTGGCACGCCGCAGCTGCACGCGGCTGGGGACCGGCCGGAGCTCAGAAAGGAGGAGGTGCCCTTCATGGTCCCCTGCGGTGTGTTGGACGGCTCCTCCGCGGACAGTCTCGCCACGATCAGCCCCTCCGCGTCCTTCCAGCCACAGAAGCTCCGGCGCACGGACTTGCAGCTGAGCTCGCGTTCCTGCGGTTGCTACAGGGCCAGCCGCAAAGCGACGGTGGGCCACTTGGACCCCGCGCGGCTGCCGTCCCTCTGGGTGTGCCCCTCGGTTAAGATTGTGGATGCTGACTCCGAGGGGCGCCCCCTTGAAATCTACCGTAGGCGCCCGCGGGGCTATAAGATGGAAGTCAGGGCCAGATGCCCAGCCACCCGCCGGGTCGTCCCTGACTCCCGGGCAGCTTTCTTCCCTCACCCGCCTGGAGCTGCTTTCCATGCCTTGGGCCCGGGTGTCCAATTCCCCACTGTAAGCATAGGCCAACCACCGCCAGGCTTCTGGCCAAAGCTGCCCTTGCCCAGCCCCAAGAACCGCTTTCACTACAAACACCGGGAGCTCCCCAAAGTAGCCCGCAGCCCCCAACCTCCAGTGTGGCGGGGTGCAAAGTGGTCCAGGGGCTGGGAGGGGAAGGCCAGCCGCACCCACGCACCTCCTCAGGGCCTCTACCCAGGGGACCAGCAGTGCCTGGATCCTCCCAGGTGGCCTCAACCTGAGCTCCACTTCCTCGAGGCCACATCCCACCTAATGTGGGAGCCCGTGTTGCTGACGGAAGCCATGAAGCTGGCTCCTGGTGTGAGCCTGTGGAACCCAACCACCCAGATGCTGCTCAGCTCTGGCACGCCTCAGCAGGAGGACAAACAAGATGACACCTCTCCTCCCACTGAAGAGCACCCCATCCAGACAAGGTGCCCAGAAGCCCCAAGGGACTGTGGTACAGCTAACAAAGAACTCAACCCCTAAAATGTGATGACTCCCCTCCAAGCTCCTGCCCCATTATGAGCCCTGAACCTCAGCTAGTGGGAATTCTACCTACCTTCTGTCTGCTTGCCAGAAATAAACACCTCAGTTGCCTTAAGAATTGGCCTGATATCTGTCAGTTTCTTCCAAGAGTGTGTGCTCTCACTGAACTGGAAAGGAGCCGGTGTCCTACAGGCCTAGAAGGAAAGAGAACACTGGCTTCAGGGAATAAGCCCATTTCTACCCCCAGGAGACCCTGCTTTAGGACCAAGACTACTCACCAGTAGAGGCACTCTGGAGAACCACCCCTCTCCCTGCAAAGGGACAGAAGTGGGATCTACCTCAGCTGAGAGAGCTTAAGAGTCTGCTTTCAGCTGGGGAGGAAGGGGATGACCCTGCTTAGGCACAGAGTGGTTCAAGACATGAGGAATTTGATTTCTCATTTTACTGGTTCCTGGAGCTCTATCAATTCCAAGTTTCACTTGGTGACAAATTTGAGCCCATGCAAGGTTCAGTGAAGCCCTGCCCCTTCTGTTGATTTTTGACTTGGGGGTGAGGCAATGACCATAGCCTGGGCACACAATTTAAGGAGGAACTCACTCTCGGGTTCAAACAGGTTGCTTGAACAAATGTGCGTGCCTCCTTAAATTTTGGGTGCTTGGCTCCACGCCAGCCTCACTGCTACTCCCACTTAGCTTTAAGTAGCCCGCCCTCCTCCTGCTGTAGCACTGGGTAGCAGGCCTGCAGTCTCTGCTATGTCGCTGTGGTCTCAATTCAGCTCCCTGGTCTGGGGCCCTGGCTCTGTCCTCATTTTGGTCCTCCTGCTTAGACTAAGCGTGCAGCTCTGGCATAAGTCTCATCTTTGGGACCTCCAGTGTTGCTCCACAGATCTGACTGGGAAGGTGGCAGTGGTGACTGGGGCCAACAGTGGTGAGTGTTCCTACCACCCTATCACCTCATAGGGGCCTTAGCACCCAACAGCCTTAACAGGGAGGGGGTAGGGTTGGGGGGCAAGGAACAGCATCCACTGTCAGCACCCTTGTCCCTCCGCTTGCTCCACTGCCCTCTAGTCACTTCCCAGACTAGCCTAGTCTGAAGCTGCCCTCCTGTAGGTATGGGGAAGGTTGTGTCTCAGGAGCTGGCCCGCAGAGGGGCTCGTGTGATCCTCGCTTGCCGTAGCCGTGAGCGTGGACAGCAAGCCCTGGCTGAGATCCAAGCAGCCTCAAAGGATGCCTGCCTTCTGCTTGGCGAGGTGGACCTGAGCTCTATGGCCTCCATTCGGACCTTTGCCCGGTGGCTTCTGGAGGAGTATCCTGAGATACATCTGTTGGTTAACAATGCTGCAATCTGCGGTATGTGCCCTGACTTGTTTCCCCCAAACACATTTCAGGAGCCCCCTTTCTAGCTCAGAGACCCCAAAACAGGCACCCCCAAAGCATAATCTATGCAACTGCTAGAACACTAAAGAGCCTGCCTTAAGCTACAGCCTCAAATTTCATTCCCCCATGTTTGCACATACATGTTCCTGTGGCATTTCTACTGAACTGCCACATATCCCCAGATATATCCCCTCAGACTTTGTCTCCTTCAGAATAGACCCTTCATTACCCACTCCCTGTGTTCTGATTTCCTCCCAGGATTCCCCAAGACACTAACCCCAGAGGGCCTTGAACTCACCTTTGCCACCAATTATGTTGGGCCCTTTCTGCTCACAAATCTACTGCAAGGTAAGGAAGTGCCAACCCAGCTTCTCCATTTCCCTGACATTTTCCTGGCTTACTGTCTCCCATGGCCACTTCCTTCTCCTTGGCACCCAGCTGCCTCCTGAGCAATGACCCAGTATGCTTTTGTTGCACACAGCAAGGGAACCACAAATCAGATTAGGATGCTAGTAATGGAGGCAGCCCAAAATACAACCAGCAAGAGGATATAAGCTCCCACCTATCCCTCCCCCAGCTCTGAGTTCCAGCCAGACCAGTAGAATCAGTCATCTCTACAACAGCATCTTGAGGGTGTCACTAGGCCACTAGGAGCACAGACACCAATCAGACTGACTCCCTGTTCTCAAAGAGCTCAGGAATCACTAGGGATGCAGACAAAAAAACCACCACTGCCTTGGGCCCAACTCCTTTGACTTTCTGATTTTTCAGTCGTTTCTGATTAAGGAAGTTTAGGTTCTTCCTGAGGAGGAGGAGGGAAGGGGGTGGCAGTCAAATTCTCCCTAACATTTTTTTCCTAGCTTGTGTAATTGTCTCTTTTAGAGAAAATCAATTTTTTGGTAAGGTAATACATGTCCAAAATACAAAATTGAAGGTGTACAAAAGGGTATACAGAAAAATAAAAATCTTTCCCTCTCCTTGAAAATCAGCTACCCATTCCTCTCCTGGGAGGTAACTATTGTTGTCAGGGTCTCATGTACCCTTTAGTGGTCAATTAATTACATTAACTCCAACTGGAAAGTGAGCAAGGCAAAACTACACATTTATGAATATGAAAGTTTTTTTCTTCTTCCCCCAAATTGTAACATGTGTCTGCACCTTGCTTAGTAATAGTGTTTTTGTTTTGTTTTTCAATAAAAAGCATTTATTTGAGCAAAGGTTGCTTTAACCTGGGATACACAGATTCAGGGAGCAACCTAAATTGTCTTCCTAGTAATGGTTTCTTAAACTGTCTTCTCTCCTGTCCCCTCTTCTCTATGAGGTCTGACAATTCAGTTCGCGAACTTGTTGCAACGATGTTGCTAACCTTTTTTGATACCAGAGGGATTATTCATTATGAATGTGTACCAACTGGACAAACGGTTAACCAAGTCTACTAATTGGAAGTGAAAAAGTTAGAGGAAAACGACCTGAACTTTTCGCTAAGAATTAATTCATGGCTCTTGCATCACGACAATGCACCAGCACACAGAGCACTGTCTGTGAGGGAGTTTTTAACCAGTAAACAAATAACTGTATTGGAACACCCTTCCTACTCACCTGATCTGGCCCCTAGTGACTTCTTTCTTTATCAGAAGAAAAGGAAGTATTGAAAGGAAGACATTTTTATGACATTCAAGACATCAAGGGTAATACGATGACAGCTCTGATGGCCATTCCAGAAAAAAAATTCCAAAATTGCTTTGAAGGGTGGACCAGGTGCTGGCATCAGTGAATAGCTTCCCAAGGGGAGTACTTCAAAGGTGATCATAGTGATATTCAGCAATGAGGTATGTAGCACTTTTTCTAGGATGAGTTCGTGAACTTAATTGTCTGACCTCGTGTATATATATTTTCTTATAGTTGACATTCAATATTATTCTACTTCACCTTCAGTTGTACAGCGCATTGGTCATGCATCTACACAGTCTATGAAGTGATCCCCTTGATAAGTCCAGTGCCCATCTGGCACTTTACATAATCTTTACAACATTGTTGATTATATTCCCCATACTGTATTTCATATCCCCATTACAATATTATGTCTACTAATTTGCTCTTTCTAATCCCTTCACTTTCTCCCCCATGTCCTCCCCTCTCCCATCTAGCAACCAACAGGTTTTTTTTCCTATATCTCTGAGTCTATGGAAGATAGTTATTTAAAAAAAAACACTTTCCCAAGTATCTCTGAACATAGTTCTTTCCCCCCAAACCTAGCACCCTATGTTCTTAGCATCTATCTTGGTGTCTGCCACAATCCAGGGGCCTAATGAACATGTGTGGAATGAATAAGTGAGTGAAAGTATGAATATGTGGGAGACAGCTCTCAGTGTTTCCAGCCTCTCCTTTCTCCCCTCTCAGTGAGGTAAAACATAAACAAGGATCAATTGAATTAGCTCCAGCTGGCAAGTGGAAGAAAAGCAAGACTAAACTCCAAACACTAAGATAAAAGAGGAGGGAGGGCTGATGAAAATGAAGTCTCAGTTCGCATTAAGCTTTGCTGCACCTAGCCTGGGTGCCTGGGTGGGGGCCACTGACTCTCTCCTGAAAGCCTTGGATGGACCCTGCTCTCCAAGTGTCTCCTGTAGAAGCAGGTTGGGGAGTAGGCATGGGAGTTTACCCCAAGACTTGTATTGAAGGAGTGTGGCTCTCTCTCTACCCAGGGGCCCTACAACGGGCAGAGTCAGCCCGGGTGGTGAATGTGTCTTCCTTTACACAAGAACGTGGGTACATTGATGAGGAACATCTAACAGGGGCTGGTAGACCTTTGACCTTCAACCAGAACTATTACTGCAGCAAACTGCTTTTGACCTCATTCACTGGGGAGCTTGCCCGGAGACTTCAAGGGACAGGTAACTCCCTCTGACACCGCTTACTCCTCAACTCCAAACTCTTCACACCTTCTCTCAACGTGTCATGGCATAAAATACTCTCCATATCCCCCAAGCCGGCTGTAAATCTCCATTTGTCATTTGTATGCCTTATATTTCTCTCAACAGCATCTTCATATCTCCTTTTCAACCTTTCCCAACTCTCTTATCACCCGCAACATCCCTCTCCTTCCAGTATTTTCCAATACCAACACCATACATCATGTTCCTCCTAAAGTTCACCCAACACTTTCAAATACTTACGTCTCCTTACTGGCTTAGGTACCACGATTCGTGTAAGTTACAGAGCATTAATATCTCTGGTACCAACCCCCCAAGCCTTTGGTCTCCTCTACCCAATGGACCTGGTGGGATCCTTCCTTCATTGCACACTGCAGAACCACACTTAACCCTTTCTTCCCAACATCCTCCTCTCACTTCACTTTGCGCTCTGCTGCCGCCTCATCCTCTCAGGTGTGACAGTGAACTCTGTGGACCCAGGTGTTGTATACACGGAGATCATGAAGCACTTCTCTTGGTCATACCGCCTCCTCTTCAAGCTCAGCAGCTTCTTCATTAAGGTGGGTAGGTGAGGAGCAGGCTTGGCTTGAAGAGGGTGGGGCAGGGCTCTGCTTCTCAGCATATCCTCAGCAGGCTAAAGCCTGCCTTGTGTGACATCCCATCCTCCCCCACAGGATCCTAAACAAGGCGCCATCCCAATCCTCTACCTGAGCTTGGCAAAGGAGCTGGATGGCATTTCTGGAAAATATTTTAGCAGTTCCTGTGTGATAACTCATCCCCCTAAAGCTGCTCAGGACCATCTTGTGGCCCAAAGCCTCTGGAATGCCTCAGTCCAGCTAACCAACCTAGGCAAGATGGACTGATCCTCTGTGACCCCTGCCCTAACTTGCCACCTCCCCCTGACTCCCAGCCCTTACTCTGAGTATACTTGTTGTTGGCCAGCTCCAAGAATCCATCATCTTGTCCACTTCCTCCTCTTGTTGGCTCAGTGGTATGACAGCTCAGATTAGCCAGGGGACAGTGTCAGCTTCTACTTTATTGCCAGTTCTCCAGTGGAAGTATTCATCTCTTGAGTACTAGGATCTCTAAATCTACCAAGTCCCAGGTTGTGGTGAGGGGGAGTGAAACTCCTTCTAGTGAATATTAAAGGTACCAGTAAGAGGGAAAACTCCCACCTATACTTCTTGGTTCCTAGACCTTTGTGTCCTGGCTTTGGGGAGACAGCACCACATAGTCCTCTGGATTAAGGCATATCCCCCATCCTGTAGTATGCCACCCCAACTTCACAACTTCACACCCCAACAACCCCAGGGTGCTGTCTCCCAGCTGGTACTATAACCAAGCCTGCAGATAATCATTCTACCTTTCTATTGAACTAGCTGCTCCTGGTGATGAGTCTTGCAATAAAACCAATGAATCTAGGAGTGAGAGCTCATTGCTTCTTTTTTGAGGTCTTTGTTCATCTGTATCAATTTTGGAATCAGCTCTTCAGATATCCCACAAACACAAATCCTGTTGGGACTGCATTACATCCACTTGGGAGAACTGACATTTTTATAGCATTGAGTTCTAATCATGAACAAGGTATACTCAGATCTATTTAAATCTTAATATCTTAAAAATTTTAATAAAAATTTCAAAATAATTTTATCCATAAAGATCTTACATGGGGTGGCTGGTTAGCCCAGGTGGTTAGAGTGCAGTGCTCATAACACCAAGGTTGTGGTTCGATCCCGACATGGGTCACTGAGTTGCGCCCTCCACAACTATGAATGAAACAACTAAAAAAAAAAAATCTAAGTTGGCCTAGTGGCGTGTTGGTTAGGAATTAGCTTGGGATGCCAGCTCTGAGGAGAAGGACCCTGGTTCGAATCCCACATATGAAGGCCAGTGACGCTGCGCCCTCTACAGCTAAGATGGTGAACAACAGTTCGACCTGGAGCTGGGCTGCCATGAGTCACCGGCGTCAGCGTAGACTGCAGTGGGGCTGGTCGGCAGCTGGCATGAGATTTCGTGAGCTGCCGTGAGCCCCCATGAGCAGCCATCCAATAGCCTGTGAGTGACTGCCTCAGCTGGGAAGAGCGCAATGATCACAATACCAACATGGGCCAGTGAAGCAATGTCCTCCACAACTAGACTGAAGAACAAAAGGACAGCAACTTGTCTGTTCCCCTCCCCAATTCCTCAATAAAATCTTTAAAAAAAAAAAAAGATCTTACATAAGTTTTACTATATTTATTCCAGGTACCTTACTTTTTATGCTATTGTAAATGGTATTTTATTTATTATTATTATTATTATTTTAAATATTTTTATTGGGGAATTAGGGGATGGGAACAGACAAGTTGCTGTCATTTTGTTCTTCAGTCTAATTGTGGAGGACGTTGCTTCACTGGCCCAAGTTGGCACCATCACTGTGCTCTTCCTGAGGGAGGCAGATCAGTCGCCAGCTTCTGAACAGCTGCTCACAGGGGCTGCTGGCCACTCACGCTGGCTGCTGGCTACACATAGTAGCCCATGGCAACCCATTGCAGCAGGGGCTGCAGCCTATACCTTCGTGGGCGACTCACAGCAGCCCAGCTCCAGGTTGAGCTGTTGTTCAGCATCTTAGCTGTGGAGGGCAGTGTCACTGGCCCTCATATGTGGGATCCGAACCGGGGCCCTCTGGCGTCCCAAGCCAGCTCTTAACCACCGCACCACTCTGCTGGCCTTGTAAATGGTATTTTAAAATTTGTACATTGATCACATATTAAGCAACTTTATTATTTAATTCTAAGAAGTTATCTGTGGATTCTTTTGTTTTTTCTACATAGAAAATCACATCACCTAGGAATAATAATAGTTTTATTTTTTCCCTTTCAACTATCAGAACTTTTATTTCTTTTCCTAGAAAACCTTAATGGATTTTCTAGTACTAAACCAAACTTGCATTTCTGGAATAAACCAAACTTGATCATAGTGCTTCTTTTGTATACATTGCTAAATTTAGCATACTCACATTTTTTTCTTTAGAACTTTTTACTATGTTCATAAATAAAATTGGCTTTTACTCTCCTTAACTTATATTGCCATTGTCTGGTTTTCTTGTCCTCAAAATATTCATTTTATAAGATGAGTTGGGGATTTGTGTTAGTCATCTAAGAAGCAGATACCAAGTTAGGATGAGATGTACAAGAAACTTGTTTGGGAGAATGGCTGTGAGAGAAAATGGGGCAGAAGCTGGGAGATGCACCAGACTCCGAGTGAAGGAGACAGGGAAGGAAAAAAGGCTGGCTGGGAGCATCTTAGCAAGCAGTGGATTGTTTTTCCATTTTTAAACTCTCTCTTGTTTTGAAAGTATATAATCTATTTCTGTTCCTTAGTGGTTCATCTAAAAATTTTAACCTGCATCTTTAACTTAACAGTATCTTTAATCAATATCTTTATGCTTCTTTCAAACAATACAGAGATCTTAGAATTCCCTAACATTATCATTCCCTTTGAATTTATATGCTTTTGTAACCCAATATTTTAATTATATTGTTATTTTGTTAATCTTAGAAATCAGATACTATATTGTTATAGTTGATATTTGTGTAGACTTACACATATGTTTAATATTTTCTTTGCTCGCTCTTCTTTTTTGTGTCTCAGATTTTCCATCTGGGGTTATTTTTCTTCTACCCAAAGTACACCCTTTAGAAGTTCCTTTAATGAGGATTTATAATAGACAGAATTCAAAGATGGCCCCCTTGATTCCTACCCTCTTGTGTACACATTCTGTATAATCTCGTCCCCTTAAGTGTGAGCAGAACTAGTGACTATGATGCAATTTAACTCCTGTGATTACATTATATACCTAGAAAATGAGATTTTGCTGATGTAACTAAAGTTTGTAATCAATCAGCATTGTGTTAATCAAAGGGGAGATTTTTTGGGTGGGCCTGACCTAATCAGGTGAGTCTTTAAAAAGGGTTAGATCTTCCCTGAAGTCAGAGAGATTCTCCTGTTTACCATGAGAAAAGCAAAGTGCCACATTTTGGAGAGGGCTACATGGCCTCTAGGAGTGAAAGCTTCAGTTCTACGTTCCTAAGGAACTGAATTCTGCCAATAATCAGTGAGTCTGGCAGAGGATGTAGAGCCCAGATGAGAAGAGGACCTAGAGCCCAGATTAGTGTGCAACCCTTGATGACACCTTGATTTCAGCCTAGTGAGACCCAGGGACCCAGCTAACCTGTACTCAGACTCCTGACCCACAGAAACTGGGAGACAATAAATGTGAACTTTTAAGCCACTGAGTTTGTAGTAATTTGTTATGCAACAATAAAAAACTAATACAGGATCTAATGATAGTAAATTTCCTTAGTGTCATTTGTTTGATTTTTTAAAATGTACTTTACCTTCATTTTTGAGGAATCATTTTGCTGGCTAAGGAATTATAGATTGGTAGTTATTTTCTCTTATTTTAAAAAACATTTGGGGCCGGCCGAGTGGTGCGTTGGTTAAGAACTGGCTTGGGACGCCAGAGGGCCCTGGTTTGGATCCCACATATGAGGGCCAGTGACACTGCCCTCCACAGCTAAGATGCTGAACAACAGCTCGACCTGGAGCTGGGCTGCGAGGGCATAGGCTGCAGCCCCTGCTGCAATGAGTTGCCATGGGCTACCTTGTGTAGCCAGCAGCCAGCGTGAGCGGCCAGCAGCCGCTGTGAGCGGCCGTCCAGAAGCCAGCGACTAATCTGCCTCACCCGGGAAGAGCGCAATGATGGTGCCAACTTGGGCCAGTGAAGCAACGTCCTCCACAACTAGACTGAAGAACAAAACGACAGCAACTTGTCTGTTCCCCTTCCCCAATTCCCCAGTGCTGTTCCCATCTCCCAATCCCCCAATTAAAAAAAAAAATCTTTAAAAAGAAAAAATTTTGCCTTCTGGCTTTCATTGTTGCTGCTGAGAAATCAGATGTTATCTAACAGTTGCTTTGTAGGGAATCTGCCTTTCCCTCTTGCTCCTTTTTAGATTTTATGTTTGTTATTATTTTTCTACAGCTTCACTATTATTAATCCAGATGTGCACTTCTCTTTGTTTATCCTGGTGGGAATCCCTTGGGTTTCTTGACTTGGAGGATATATATATATATATATATATATATATATATATATATATATATATATATATATATATATCCTGTGTTTGTCTTTAAATACAGCCTCTCCTTTATTATCTTTCTTTATGGAATTGCAATTCGATAAAGGTTGGACCATCTCACTTTATCTTTTGTATTTTTTAACTTCTCTTTCACATTTTCCTTTGTCTTGTATGTTAAAGTTGCATTTTAGTTCATTTTTTAGATCTATTTTCCAATTCACTAATTATCTCTTTAGCTATGTAAAAATAATCTAAATGGCGACACTTTAAAATGTAGTTGAACTGCCATCCCAGAGAAACAGCCTTGCACATCATATGCCTCAGACCTTTGGAATGTTAAAACAGGGCAAAATAACCTTTGAACTGGGCCTAAAGTAACATTGTGTCCCAAAGAATTATTTACAGAGATAACAAGGAAGCAGATATGACTACTGGAATGATATTTAACAGACCGATAATTAAAAACATTAGAATTAACATCACTTTGTTAGCTTATCTGAACCAATAGAAATGCCTTTCTTCTATTGATGTAATTGTTCCCCTTTTCTTTCTCATAAATACCCCTTGACTTTTTCTTCTGATTGGAACACTCTTTGGGCTTCTGCCTGAATCAGCACTTCCCAAACAGCTATCCTTTTTTTTTTTTTTAATCTCAAATAAACACTTGTTGACTCTTACTTTGAAAGACTTTTTATTTTAGTGTAACAGCTGTGACTAATCTTTTGTTTATGCTAATAACTTTATATTATAATTATTATATTTTATTACTATTTTATAATTGGTTGTTTTGGCAATCTACCTAGTCAATTTTTATAATCTCTTGTTCCTTCTTCATATTTAAATCTCCCTTTATGTTTTTAAAAACATATTAAACATCCATTTTATATACTGTAACTGAAAATCCCAATATCTGTAATCTCGGCAGGCTTGGGGTGTCTGGGCTGGGCATCTGTCATGAGGCTGGGACCCCTCAGTCCTCAAGGGGGACCTCCGCGGCCAAGTATCCCTCCTGAGTTTTAACTGCCACACACAGTGTGGAAACAGCCCATTCACGTCTCTGCCCCTCCTACCCATCTTGTGGAGGCCTCTTCTGTATGTTTTTTGTTATAGGACTTCTGTTCAGCTAGACTTCGGGCAATTCTCAAAGATGGTTGTTCTGTAGTCTAGTTGTGATTTTGATGTGGTCATGCAAGGAGGGGAATACAGCATTTACCTACTCCGCCAGCTTCACTGGAATCCCTAATATGTACATATGTTTATCAATTCTAATCATTTTCATATTTGGCATTTTCTATGTAGGTCATTATATCATTTGTGAAAAATGACAGTTTAATTTATTCCTTTGTATCTTTATATTTTTTCTTACCTTATTAGTTATGTCTTAAAATATTATACAATGTTGATTAGAATCAGAATTATTGGACATCTTTGTATTCCTCATTTTAGAGAATCTAATGAGGACTTGTATTCTCTTCAAAGGTCGGTATTTGTTTTAACAAAAAGTCTCTATTTGTATATGTGGTTTTTCCCATGATTTCTACAATAGAACTTGTGAGGTCCTAAATTCCCACTGTCAGAATAACTTCTTATGGTTGTTCTGGCTTATCTCATTGTAGATTCTTCTTAGTGCATGGCCTTCAAGGTCCCTGAAGGACCATCCTCACATTCCCCACCTGTACTCCAGAAAGAAATGGGGAACAGCAAGTCTGGCGCTCCCGGGGCCTCCTTGTCTCCCCACACTCTCCCGTGTGTGATAACAAAGCCAGCAATGATGAGTACATATTAGGTTCTTTCCTGAAGGCCAGACCCTCTCATAAAAGTAAAACAAGGCAGAGGAAAGAAGGGTTGAAGTTATATCTCTAGACTGTGCAATATGAAAGCCATTGGCCACATGTGGCTACTGAGTGTGGCTAACGAGGAACTGAATCTTAAATTTTATTTAATTTTAATTAAGTAAAATTTAAGTTTAAAAATGTATATTTAATCCAGTTATTGGAAATCGTCTAAATATGTTTGACAAATGTTGCATACATGAATCTACTTCTTCAACTGTACATTTTATGAAATCTAAACCAGATCAAGTATTTCCAATGAAAATTTACCATCTGAATAAAGATGTGCTGTAAGTGCCAAATACATGTGGATTTCAAAGGCTGTATAAAAAAAGTAAAATACCTCATTAATACTTTTGTATTTATTACAAATTGAAGCAATAATATTTTGGATATCTTGTTAAATTAATTTCACTTTTTCCTTTTAACTTTTAAAAATTATAGCTGCTAAAAAATTAAGATTATATGTGTAGTTGGCTTATAATATTTAATTTTAATAATTTTCTCCAAAAAAACCAAATCCCTGCAAAATTTATTAGCCTACACCTCGGTTAAAGGCAATTTCAAAACTTACATTTTTATTCCTATTGGATAATGCTGGTATAGCTAAGCTACATGCTTCTCTCCCCACATTTGTCCTCCCCATGTCTGGCTTTGTCATCTTTGATTTCTCTCTGCCTTTATCCAATCCCCTCTCCAAGTTTCTCAGCCTGAAAACCACCTCTTCCTCTGGGAAACAGCATTCCTTTCCTCAAGGGGAGGGTTTCCCTCTTGCTTCCTTCCCATGTTCTGGAATGCCTAGGATTCTACCCAGATGAGCACAGATGATCTCTATTCAGCACCACAGGTTGGGAGAATGGGCCCCAGTCATGCAAATTGGAATTTTGGAGTCCTAGCAGTCCTGTTCAGGTTTCCCCATCAGAGGAAGCCTCAGGCTGGCACCTATGAAAAAACACATAGGACAAAGACAATATTAATTTTCCTTGAAGACCACTCAGCCTGATGCAACGTAAAAGGAACAAGATTTCCCCTATTAGCATGTCCTGTCCTTTAGACTCAATGGTACCCCCTTTCTTGGTGCTGAGAAGTATTTGGGTCTTTCCTGTATCCTCACTACCCATTCCACCTGAGGCCTGGCAGCTTCACATGAAAACTCAGGACAGCTGTTAAAAGTTGTTATAGCCACTAAGAAAGATGACTCCAGCTCAAATAATACTAAAAAAATACACTTAAAAAAACTTCAAGGGCCAGCCGAGTGGCTCAGTTGGTTAAGAGTTGGCTTAAGAGCGCGAGCTCTGAGCAACAGAGCCGCTGGTTCGATTCCCACATGGGCCAATGATGCTGCACCCTAGCTAAGCTGTTGCTGAGCTGCCAACAACTGGCAGGATGGGCTCAGCTGGTGTAACAACAAGACTGCCTGTTCGATGGTGGGCTACGTCCACCAGCAACTAAGACTGAACTCGGCACCTTGAGCTGAGCTGCCGCCCGCATGGCTCAGTGGATAGAGTGTGTGCTCTTAACAACAAGGCTGCTGGTTTGACTCCTGCATGGGATGGTGGCTACGCCCACCCACAACTAAGACTGACACAGCACCTTGAGCTTAGAGGCCACTAGCTGCCGACGGGAAGCCAGATGGCGACTGGTGCCCTCCACAACGACGACTGAAGAACAACTGGTCCACTTCCCCAATTCCCCAACATTGTTCCCCTCCCCCAATTCCCCAATAAAATCTTTAAAAAAAAATTTCAAGGCAGATCAATATGTACTAATATGGATAACCTCTAAGATATATTGTCCAGTGGAGATAAAAATACGGTTCAGAACAGTGTGTACAGGAAGATGCTGTTTGCATTTAAAATGCTTACGTTTTCAGAGATCAACTCTGAAACAGCAAACAAAAAACTGGCATCAAGAGTTGCTTTGGGTAGGAATCTTAGGGATGGAATAAGTGGGATATGTACTTATATTAAAAAAACATATGTTCAGGGCCGGCTGAGTGGCGCGATGGTTAAGAGCTGGCTTGGGACACCAGAGGGCCCTGGTTCGGATCCCACATATGAGGGCCAGTGACATTGTCCTCTACAGCTAAGATGCTGAACAACAGCTCAACCTAGAGCTGGGCTGCAGTGGGTCGCCGGCAACGTCGTAGGCTGCAGCCCCTGCTGCAGTGGGTTGCCATGGGCTACCGTGTGTAGCCAGCAGCCAGCATGAGAGGCTGTGCAGAAGCTGGCGACTGATCTGCCTCGCCCGGGAAGAGCGCAATGATGGTGCAAACTTGGGCCAGTGGAGCAACGTCCTCCACAACTAGACTGAAAAACAAAAGGACAGCAATTTATCTGTTCCCCTTCCCCCAATTCCCCAGCGCTGTTCCCATCCCCCAATTCCCCAATAAAAATCTTAAAAAAAATAATTATATATATATATATATATATATATATTCATATTTACAATAGCCAAAAGGTAGAAACAACCCAAATATACATAGATGGGTAAATGGATAAACAAAATGTGGTGTATACAGTAAATGGAATATCATTCAGTCTTAAAAAGGAAGGAAATGCTGACACATGCTACAACATGAATGAACTTTGAAGACATAAGCCAGAACACAGAAGAACACATATTGTGTGATTCTATTTATATGAAATATTTAGAATAGTCAAATTCACAAAGACAGAAAGTAGAATGTTTGTTATCAAGGGCTAGGGTGAGGCGAGAAAAGTGAGTACTATTTAATGGGTACAGAGTTTCAGCATGGAAAGATGAGAAAATTTTGGAGATAGTGGTGATGGTTGCACAATAATGTAAATGTACTTAGTGCCACTGAACTGTATACTTAATAATAGTTACAATGGTAAGTTTTATGTTATGTGTTTTCCCACAATAAAATAAATTTGTATGTAGTGCCTTTAAAAACCTTTAAATCTATTTTCATACCATTTCTCTTTAATTGAAGGGGACGGGGGTCATTTCTACTAAAATTATAGCTGCATTTATTATTTGATCCAGATTATCCTATAGATATACCTGCTCACATATGGAATAATATATGTACAAGGGGATTCACTGCCGCATGTTGGCAATAACAAAAAACTGGAAACAAAATATCCAACTAGAAGTGGCTGGTTAATGAATTAAGTGTATCCATGCAACAAAGTACTATGTAGCTGAAAAAAATGAACGAGGAAGAGCTCTACTTACTGATTTAGAACATCTCCAGGATATATTGTTAAGGGAAGAAACTATGGTGCAAGTGTGTATAGTATGCTACCTTCTGTTCAAGAAATGGGAGGAGTAAGATGATATATTCATATTTCCTTGCATTTGCATAAAACATTGAGAGGATAAGAAAGAAACTAATAAGAGTTACCTGTAGTGGGCAAGGGGTAAGGAGTGAATGGAAACGAGTTGAAGGGAGGCTTTTGAATGCATACTTTTTATATTGTTTTGGTTTGGGGATCATGCAAGTGCATTATCTATTCAGAATAGTAATTGGAACTATTTAGGAGATGAAATGGGAAAAAAGGGGGCAATAGTGGAAAGGTTGCCCAATTCATCTTTTCTACCATTTGCCTCCCACCTCCACCCCATCAACAACTTTATGGATTTTTCAGGTTGTTTTCAATCTGAGATTAACTGAGATAAACATAACATCACAATTGTTATATTTCAGGCTTTTTAGATAGATTCACTTAATCTTCCTAACAACCTAATAATATAGATAGTATCATTAACCTCCTCATTTTACAAATGAGGAAACATAGGCACGGAGAGGTTAAGTAACCAGCCAAAGATCTCAAACAGTAAACTGTAGTTAGAATTGGAACCCATTTCTATCAAATCCTAGCTCTCCCAATATCCTTATAAAAATGTCTTTGCACACTTGCTCTGTCTTTCATTTTTGGGGGCTACATTATTAGAAGTGGGTGCACTGGGTCAAGGGGTTTGTACTTTTTAATGGTTTCTCTTTAAAAATCGGGGAATCGGGGAAGGGGAACAGACAAGTTGCTGTCCTTTTGTTCTTCAGTCTAGTTGTGGAGGATGTCGCTTCACTGGCCCATGTTGGTATTAACATTGCACTCTTCCTGGCTGAGGCAGTCGCTTGCCAGTTATTGGATGACCGCTCAGGTAGCTCACCGCAGCTCACGCCAGCTGCCGGCCAGCCCCACTGCAGCCTATGCCGTTGTTGGCAACTCACAGTAGCCCAGTTCCAGGTGGAGCTGTTGTTCACCATCTTAGCTGTAGAGGGCGTAGAGTCACTGGCCCGCATGTGGGATCTGAACCCGGGTTCTACTGCTCAGAGCTGGCGTCCCAAGCCAACTCCTAACCAATGTGCCACTTGCCACCCCTAATGATTTCTCTTTTTTAAATTAAAAAATGCCAAAATGCCATTATGTAAATTTGTGTCGTTTACATTCGCATCATAAGGGCATGAGAATGCCTGTAGCCCCATATCATATGATGGATAACACTGAGTAGCAGCAAAATTTAACTTTTTCCCCCTCAAGCTAACTGACGAGATACGGTTTTTCAGTATTGTTTTAACTAGCAGTTTAGCACTGAAAAGCTTAGCGACTCTCCAGGGGACCCAGTTGCCTGCTGCAAACGAGACCTCCAAAACCCTCAGCGCTGTCTCCTACCCGCCGGCAGACGGCGCTGGCTACGACACGCCTCTCTCCTGTGGTCCTAATCCGCTTCCCAGGCACACTGCGCACGCGCAAATTTCGTCCCAGGTGTCCAGCCTTGTGCCTGATCGCTGTCTCCTTGGCCGCGCTCAGCGCGCAGTTTTTAACCCCGGCAGGTTTTGGGGAAGAGTAGCGTGTTTCTTGGTATCAGAGCGCCTTTGGACCTTCAGGGCGAGAGGGTCTGGGGTGGGCCTAATGGGGTCGGGCGACGCGTCGGGCAGCTCGCGCGGGTGGGGCGGGGCGGCACTGGCAAGGTCTTGGGCGTCGGTCGCCGGTGGGGCTGGAGCCGGGCGCGGAGCCCCTGAGTCGACAGGTACGGAGGCGGCGACCTTGCCAACCGTCCCCTCCGCCGCCCTCCGCGTGTTTGCGAGGTTCCCGGCAGTGGACTGGGGGCTCGGCGCTGGCCTGGGGGCAGCATGGAGCCCGGAGTGCGGGGCAGGGGATGGCGAGGGTGGGCCGCGGCGGGGGTGGGCGCCCGTCTGGGTCTGGGCGGGTCCGACCCACCTGAGTTGTCAGCCTGGCGGTGTTCTCCCGGGATCAGAGTGATTGCTCCTCCGAGTTCCTCCAGAACTGCAAGGCCACCCTCCTTTCCTGGGCGCGTCCCAAGCACCCTGAACCCATTCCGAGCCACAGGTTTCCTGTAGGCACATGGTTGAGAAGTTTGTGTCAAAATAACAAACACCCTCCCTCTCTACTCCCCCCACCCCCCGAGGAAAACAAAACAAAACAAAACATAGAAGTGTCCAGCCTGGGGCCTGGATATGGGTTTGGTGTGTCTGTGTCTACCACTGCCGGGGGCCGCCTTACTAGCAGGATGATCCTTGAGAAGTCATCTTGCGCATCCCTCTAGTCTTTAGGCAGAAGAACCACAGCTAAATCACACAGATGAGGAACTCCACTGTTTTTAAAGAGGCAGTGATTTAGAAACTTACTCTCATATTTTGCAGTGAGGATAGCAGCAAGCCCATATTGACCACCTACTAATCAAGTGTGCTTAACGTACACAGAGTGAAGGAGCTGTGAGGTAGTTTGACATTCTTTACCTGGTGTACTGCCAGAGCCTGAGCTATTGGAATGTTAAGAGAGAATAAAAATTTTAAAGGCATTTTTGTGCTCAAATAGGTTTAGAAACGTCATGGTCAAGTTTTCTCTACACAATATTTCAGAGCCTTCAATATGCTAATGATACTAGCAGGAATCTAGGAGAGTTTCCTAGATGAGCTGTAAATACGGTTTTTCTTGGGTGCTGCCTCTGCTTAACATCTGAAGCAGTTTGGGAAATGCAGTTCCAGAATTAGAAACGCAAGGTTTGGAAGAGGTAGTGTAGGTCAGTGCTCTTCAAACTTTAATGGTTCATACACCGGGGGATCATGTTAAAACACAGATTCTGTTTGTACATTTTGAACAAGTTCCCAGGTAATGTTTATGCTGCTGGTCCATGGCCCAAACTTTGAGTAGCAAGGTAATAGATTACTGGATCGAAAGAGACCATGTTCCGCTTACTGTTCTCCGGAACAAACTGTGCTGCTTTGAGTGAGTGACTTCACCTGTCCAGGCGCATAAAATACGAGACTGGACTAGATCTCTAAGGTTCCTTTCACATCTAAAATGCTGTGATTATAGTCCAGTTTACCCTTCTGATAGCTGAATTCCATCTAAAACATCCATGCCCAATGGCCAACTTGGGTTTGAACATTTCTAATGGAAATTTACTGCAGATAAGTCATCCCCTTTCATCTTGGGGTAGTTTAATAAGGAAGTTTTTGTGGCTGAAATACATCTCTGCAACTTCCATCCTGTGGTCCTAGGTGAGCTCTTGGAATCAAATAGAAAAAAAAGTGTAATCTCTCTTTAAAAGATGACCTTTAAAGTATTAGATGACAGCTGTTCCTACCAAGTTTCCTGTAAGCAAAATTGCCCCTAATTCTTCCATGACAATGTTTCAAATCCCTTTCTTTTACATTTATTCCTTCTGCCTGGAGTGGAGTGAGGCTTTAGTTGGACTTTGAAGGATGGGTGGGGCTTGCCAGACTAGGGAAAGCATACTGAGCAGCTGACAGTAGTGCAGAGATGACAGTGCATGTGTCAGACCCAGGATTGTTTGGCTCAAGTAAGAAATGGTATGTTAGTGAAAGATTTGGGGGAGGTGAGTATATGGGCAAAGCAATATTTTAGAGTTTATCGATTTTTTTTTAACGGGGTTTGTAATGTGGTTGGAAATGGGGAAGGAGAGAGGCAGGGAGCCAGATCTGCTTCACATTATTTGTCATAGAGGACTTAGATTGCTAATATTAATAATGCTTTATATTTATGTATGACATTTTACAGATTACAGATCCTTTCATAGGCATTATCTCATTTGACTTAATAATCCTGTGAGGTAGGCAGAGCAGCTGTTACCCTGTTTTAGAGATGAGGTTCCAAAGAGGGTAAATGATTTACCTTAATTTTCAAAGCTATTAAGTGGCAGAGCAAAGTTATGACAGTGGTAATGGAGGATAAAGGAAGGATGCAGGAGGCAATACTAAGGAAGAATTGGTAAGTTGTCTGACTGACATGAGTGTACAAAGGAGAAGAAATTGTTAGGGAGGAGTCAAAACAGTTGGGAGAATCATACAAATGACAACTGCCACTGTAGGTTTTGCTCTGCCAGCTTTATCGTTGTTAGTGGCTGCCTGGTGTTACGGTTTGGGAGAGATTGTAGTAGAGGATTCTCAGGTTGCTTGGCTTGTCTCCAGCTACTGGGTGGTGCTGTGGAGACTTGGTCTATCTGTCCCATACCACGGGAAATGAGAGCTGGGTCCTCTGTCCCCCAAGGAGGCAAGTGCTGAGCAGTTGACTGATTCAAATGTATTTAGGGCTTGCCATCCTAGAGACTCTGAATTTGGCTTTATATCAGTTTTCTTTTGAAGTTCAGGCTAGTAACAGTTACACTTGGCTGATGGACAAATTCAATGTCCAGTCTGACCTCCCCAAGCTCCTACATAGCCCCAGAGGACTTCACTGAAGCAGAGACTGGACCTTTGTCAACCCCAAAGCCTCACTAAAGCTGTTTTTCCCAGAAGATCTGCATGTTTCCTAGAGCCTGGAGGTCTCTCTGTGGTCCTTTCACCCTGGAAGCACATGCCATTGAAATTTAGTGTCACTACCAAATTCCATAGGACTTGGGGCTGTCTCTGTATTTTTAGTTTCTTAGGCTCCTATCTGGAGAGGAAAGAGCTACATCTGGGTGTGTGTGTGTGAGAGAATCAATGGCTCCAGCACACAATGAGGACATGACTGGTAATTTCCACCATGGTGGTGGTCTTTAAGGGTGGAACTACTCTCTAGGAAAGCTGTCAGAACCAACTTATATCCCTAGAGTCTAATGTTGGTACAGGCTTCTATTCCACATTGAGTGTCTTCTGTGCTCAGTGCTTAGGATACTGAGATGATTTCCTCTCTGCCCTGGAGGAATTCATGATAGGATAAGGGAGACAATATTTTAAATAAAATGAGATATTGTAACAGAGATAGGCTCAAAGTGCTATGTGATGGCAGAGGAAGGAATAACTAGCTCTACATGGAGATGTCAGGGGAATCCTCAGGAAAGAGGTGATATTGAGCTGAGCCTTGAAGATGAGGAGAGAGAATGGCCCAGGTGACATTTGCAATATTTGCAGAGGCATAAGGGGGAAGATAAGTAGATTCAAATGGGAGAACTTCGAGATCAAAGGAGAGGTGATTGATGAGACTGGATTCATAGCAAGACCAGGTTTTTAATGGCCTGTAATGCTATGCCGAGAAGATTTAATTTTGTGGGCATGGGAGCCACCAGAAGGTTTTAGGCACGAGGTGATGATTGTGTTTTGGGAAGCTAACTGTGGCAATAGACTAAAAGGGAAGAATCTGGATCAGGGACATGAGGAAACTCTTGTAATAACCTAAGCATGGTCTAAGGCTGAACTAAGGCTTAGCTCATTGGGGATGGAAAGGAGGGGATGAACCTGAGAGACTAGAGCCAGACATAATTACCTGACGTAATGACTGGCTATTGAGAACAAGAGAGAGGGAGTTGCTGAGGATGACTCAGTTTTCTATTTTGGGAGGATGGTGGTGCCAGTAATAAAGAGGGAATATAGAGGAGGAACATATTTTAGGGAGAAGATAGCGAGTGTGTTTAGGATCATGTTGAACTTCGGGGTGTCCGTGGCACTTAGCATACAGGTGGAAATGTGGGCCTGAGATTCAGAAGAGTATGTGCCGGGCCGGCCGAGTGGCGCATCGGTTAAGAGCTGGCTTGGGACGCCAGAGGGCCCCGGTTCGGATCCCACATATGAGGGCCAGTGACACTGCCCTCTACAGCTAAGATGCTGAAAAACAGCTCCAACCTGGAGCTGGGCTGCCATGAGTTGCCGGTGATGGCATAGGCTGCAGCCACTGTGGCAGTGGGTTGCCATGGGCTACCGTGTGTAAGCCAGCAGCCAGCGTGAGCGGCCAGCAGCTGCTATGAGTGGCTGTCCAGAAGCCGGCGACTGATCTGCCTCACCCGGGAAGAGCGTAATGATGGTGCCAACTTGGGCCAGTGAAGCAACATCCTCCACAACTAGACTGAAGAACAAAAGGGCAGCAATTTGTCTGTTCCCCTTCCCCCAATTCCCCAGTGCTGTTCCCATCCCCCAATTACCCAATAAAAATCTTTTTGTTTTTTAAAAGAAGAGTCTGTGCCTAGGGGTGGTAGGTGTAAGTGGTAGTTGATGCTGTGGGAATGGATGAGCCCAGCCATGCTTACAGAAGGCTGAAAATGACGGAGTTGTGAATGATTGGTGTGCAAGGTGAGAGAGAGGGTTGTCCAGGAAGCTAGGAGAAGAGGAAGGAAGAGGAACAGCAGCCTCATTTGCTACAGAGAGGTCAAGTAGGATGAGCTTGGAAAATGCACCTTGGGATTGGACAGCTGGAAGGTTGTGGCCACCAGGGCTTTTACTTCATTAGCATGAGCAGCTTCAGTGGAATGGTAGGGACCAGGGGCCAGGTCAATTGAGGAGTAGACGGGAAGTGAAGATGGGTTGGGTGTAATCACTGTGAGTAGTTTGGCATGGAAGGAAGGAAAATAGATGGTGGCAGCTGGTGTAGGAGGTTGCACAGACTAGAGGCAGGCAGTTTTTCCTAGAAGAGTCGTGAGCATGGGTTATCTGATGATGTGTAAGAGCCGGTAGAGAGGGTGCAATTGAAAGCACAGGAGAAAAGATGATTATTAAATCAGGTCCTCAGAGGAGGGTGGAGGTGTTGGCCCTGAAAAAGAGGGGGGTCATCATTTCCTTTGAAGAGGGATGATGGAAGAAAGGAAAGACTGTAGGAAGAAAGAGGCAATGATGGTTGTAGATATATCTGAATTTGCAGAGGAATTCTTATCTAATTGTCTCAGTTTCTTTCTCAGTGAGGTTATCTGCTGAGGTGATAGGGTGCTGGTTTGGGCTCAGACAGGAATAGGGACTAGAAAGTAGTAAGGGAAACTTGAAACAGCTGTCCAGAGGAAAGGGAGAGAGAGCAGACTCGAGATATGCCCCAGGAGTGTTGAGTACTTTCCAAACTTAAATCCTGCACTGTAGCCTCACCTTCTTCTTCATAATAATGGCTGGCATTTATTGAGCACTCCACATTAGGCACTCTTTTAATTTCTTTTCAGTCATTCTTAATGTGACTTTTACAACAACACTGTTAGAAAGATACTGTTATTATCCCTATTTTACAGAAGAGGAGATTGAGGCATGGAGGATTACTTAGGCTTAGTAGTACTTAGGTTTGATGAATCTCTTCTGCAGAAATGGCATTCCATCCCCCGAGGCATCAGAAAAGGCAGAAACTGAATCCCAGCTCCCAATTTCTGGACTTCGTGGGGCCAGAGTCCAGGGCTGCTCAGGAGGGAGTCTTATCAGGCCAGTCTGTGGGCATGATTGTGGCATCGGTCGTCAAGGGCGGTGGGGTCACTGTTGCTGCTGGCTTTTTAAAGCTACGTAGGGAACCCTGAAATCCTTGAGTGATTTCCTAGCATCCTGACCAGAAAGACAAGTGACTGATAGTGTATGGTACTGCAGACTGAAACTGTATCACAGTGAATTAGAAAAGAGATCTTGTCTCCATCAGCCAGAAAAAGAATTTTTTTCTGCCATCATGGGACGAGGCAGACCTATAACCTTATATAATAGCATAGATTATTAACACTTGCCTTTTGTGTTTTCCCCATTGGTGTGATAGCATTTACAGTTAAGGTACAAACCTGACTTGAGTGAAGGGGGAAAATGGTGGGATGGCATGGATGGAAGAGAAATGGACTTACCTTTTCCTGCTGCAGCCACTGGCGCATCATTTCCGTGTCCTTCCTCTTGAGGTTGCCATGGATACGCCTTTGCGTGGTGACTTGAGGAGATTGATTTCCATTATGATCAGATGATGACGTGGATTTAAAAAGAGAGAGGACAGAATGCTCTGCTTCTGGGGAGTGGCCAGGGAGCTGCCCAAAAGGCAGTCTGGCACAGCCCAGGTGGCTGTGGCTTTGTTGGCTGCTTTGGTTTTTGCTGAAGTTGTGAAATGGTGCATCTCTCTCTTTAGAGCGCAGACTCAGGGTTCCCTGTCTGCAGGGTCCTAGTGCCAGGGATTCGGTGGTGGATTCATGGGAAGGAACCAGCAGGAACTTGGAACAGGCTGTTAAGTAGGCCTCCTGCTAGCACTGGGAGGGTTGCAGGATTTGAGTACAGGGTTGCACTTAAGTGGCTGTTGCCTTCCTGCAAAAGTTCTTTTATTGAGGATAAGCTTTTATTGTGTAGCTTTTCTTGCTGGCTCTTGGATGTCTGGGCCATTTGGAGATGGGCTGGCAATTGCTGGGTATTCCTGAGGTAGAAGGATACTTTATGAGGGGCTGGAGCTGCATGCAGATTGGAAGTGGACCAGTCTACTTTGATTTCTGGAGATAATGAGGAGAGGTAAAGAAAGTCCATTTAGGGTCTCGGCCGTCTCAGTATGAGATCCATAAAGCAGATATGGGAGTAGGACCTAGCAACAAAAGACTGTATGTGTCTTCTTTCTGAGTTCCTGTGTATTTCTGGAATCCAGCCTTCCAAGCTTCCAGCTCCCAGCCTCTATTTCCCACTCAGTTAGCAGATCCTCTCCTTTCCTGAAGGACTTCTGCCCACCCTTATCCCTTCCCTTTTAGTGCTTTCAGAGATGTACAACTTTACCCTGGTCTTAAGACCTGGATCTTGCTAGTTACCCCTGTGTTTCATTCTATCTCTTTGCAACCAAACTAGTCTATGCCAGTGCCTAATGCAGTTCAGTTTAAGTGTGTGAACCCTGCTGTCAGACTGCCTGGATTTCAAACCAGCTCCTCTACTAGGGGGATCAGGGAAAGCAAACAGTTGGGTTAGCCCAGGGTCAAGTTTAGGTGAGGCGAGACAAGAGGAGGTCAAGGGCTCAAAGGGTGCTGTGGTGCCAGTGAAAGCAAGGTAGAAATGATGCAGGCTGGGTGCCAAAGAGGCTTTTCCTCCTTACTTTTTTCTTTTTAATTCCCAACAATCTATCTGTTTTTCTGTCATATTCTGAAATGTTCTCCAAGACCATTAATAACGTATTTATCAGACACACAATTTTCCTTCCTGTCGTCCCATTTTCCTAGATATTTTAGTAGTATTTGATATCAATGGGGAGGAAAGTGGAATAGAAATCCAGAGAGTATTTGTCTTCTCCCTGGCTGAGGGACATGTAACTCAGAATTGTCCTATGTGACATGGGGTGGGGCCCTGTGGGCTGTGGAAGGATCGTGTACCTGTACAGCTGGTCAGATGTGCCCCCTGCCATTTTCTGACCTTGAGACTCGGGAGAGTCGTTTGACTTCTAAGACTCAGTTGCATCACCTGTAGAAAGGAGATAATGGACTCTGTTTTGTCTGCACGACCGGCGCATTTTGGAAGGAGATAGTGAAATATATGTGTTAGTGTACACAGGTAAATTTGCCCCAGAGAAGGCCCTAAGAACAAGACTTACTGTCTCTCTCCTAACCTGTCAGTGTCCCCTTCCCATTTCCCCCCAATTGTTACTGTTTTCAGTCATTCTGTTATTACTCATCCTTGAAAACTCCTAAATTCATTTGTTTACTTATTCATGCATTTATTCATTCATCTATTCATTCATGCAGCATTTGAGTTCCTACTGTGTGCAAGTCCTTGTTGATGTATCTCTCAGTAATGATGAAGATGATGCCTACAATTTGTTGAGCACATATTCTGTGCCAGGCACTGTGCTAAATGCTTTACTGCGGTCTTATTGAATCCTCACAACATTCCTGTGAGGTAGGCATTATTTCCGCCTTTCTTTTTCAGATGAGGTAATTGGGGCTCTGAAAGTTAAATGTCTTGACCAGAGTTATACAGGTGAGGAAGGAGGAGGACCAAAGCTGTACTCAGGTCTGTCTCTGGAGCCCACGCAGGTCTGCTGCCTCTTTCCCCATGTCTGATCTATCATCAGGTCTTCCCAGGGCTGTTTGGTACTGTCTCTGAATCGGCCCCTTTCCTCTTGTCTCTCATGAGCCTCATTCAGACCCTCCTCAGCCCTTGCTCATTACTGCAGCCAGCCCCCTTGCTGTTATCCCTGTCTTTACCAAGTTGCTCCCATCTCCACTCCATCCGTTCTACCACCAGTTTGATCTTCCTAAAGTAGTTTTCATTATGCTAGTCTCCTGCTCAAGAAGAGACTGGCTTCCTGTTATTGGATCAAGTCCATCTATCTCTACCTGATGGTAAAGTCCCTGACTATCCGTACTTACCTTCTAGTACGTGTAAATATTGATGTGTTTATTTAGTCAATAAATATTTGATGCCTAGAACTAAGGGTGATGGGATCATAAAGAGGAAAAGTTGTGGGCTCTACTTTAAAAGGTTTATGGTTTAATAGAAGAACGCATCTTGATTTTTTTGCTTCAGTCCAACTAGACTTCTTTGATATTCCCTAGTTAAGCAAATTATTTCTGTCTCTATTCATACTGGTTCACAATTTATAGTGTTTGTAGGCCTTTCCACGTATGCAAAAAACAACAACCTATAATTCAAGGTCTAGTTAGATACCGCTTTTCTTTCTAGCTCACCTTTCTCCTGTCTGTAACCCTTAAAATATTTATTGTCTAGGTATTTTAAGACTTATATACCATCTGTTATCATGTCAGGTGATTCTTTGCACTTCTACAGCTTCTGCACTTTTTACAAAGCACTTGCATGTACTTTATCTTACTCACGCCTCATAATATTAATGTAGATATGGGAGAAGAAATAGCCCCCAAGAAGTTAGGTAACTGTATATACCTGTGTGGCTAGTGAGTTGTGAGGTTGTTCTTAGATATGAGCTCCTTTGCATCTCCGAAGGCAGTGTGGTCTAGACCAGGGGTTCGGCAAACTTTTGAGACAGAAGAGCCGCCAGGGGTCAGCAAACTCCGGCTCGTGAGCCACATGTGGCTCTTTGGGCACGTACATGTGGCTCTGAAGTAAAATTGAAAATGAAAATAAAAGTATCATAGTTTCATTTATAAAATTTTTAAAGGATATTATTCACATAATGGTGATTATGTAAAAATATATTTATGGCTCTCAAATAATTTTTAAATTATTGCGAGGGACAGGATTCACTCTTCCAGGGGTTGGCAAACTTTTGAGACAGAACGTACCCAAAGAGCCGCATGTGGCTCACAAGCCGCAGTTTGCCGACCCCTGGTCTAGAGGACGAGCATGTCCTTGGAAGCCTAGAGATGTCTGATAACAGTGAAGAGAGTAGAATGTGCAGAGGATTCCAGTTCAGGCTTTGGTTCCAGTTTGGGCTCCACTCCTCACCTTCTGTGTAACTTCAGAGACTGTTGTCCAGTTCTCTAAGCCTGAATTTCCTTGTCTGTGCTGTGTCTGGCCTGCCTCTCAATGGTGTTATTGTGATGTCCAGATATGATGATCACAACATTGTTATTAGCTAACTTTTGTTGAGTACTTATTAAATACCAGGCAATATCTTAAATGTCCTACGTGGATTATCTTGGCTAATCCTCACAACAGCTCTCTCAGAGCTGTAGCTACCAAGTGGTGAAGCCAGGAATTGGATGTAAGCAGACTGAGTCTAAAACCAAGGTACTCTGTAGGCTGTAAAGTGTTCTGAACATGTGAAGTCCGGACAGCAAGAATGTGCATGGCCCCACTCAGCTGTGTAATGTGATTGGAGAAGGGAGGAGGCAGCATGGAGATTTTGCAGGGTAGGAGTTTGGCCAGGTGGTTTGGCCAGGATTGAAAATGCGGAGAGGTGTTTGGGGGCCTTAGATCCGGCTGTTGGTTACCAGTCTACTATTAGGCTCTCTGGGCTGCTTTATAAAGAGCGAGGAATGGAGGGAGACCCTGTTTGGCCAGTGAAGCCAGTTCGGACAAGGCAGGTATGCCTAGGCCCAGGGTGTCTAGATCCACACCACACCCAGTAGAGTCATGGGTCAGACCTCAGGCCAACCTGCTGGCTACTTAGGGGTTTGGGACCCTGGTCTGTTGGTTCCTAGCCCATGTTAGATGGGTAAATGAATGAAGTGGTATCGTTACATAGCCCTCTGGAGACCTTTCACTAGAATGCACAATCTTACATTAAACATTTTACATTATAAAAGTAATACATACATGGTTATTAAAGACATTCTGTAAAATAACACAAATATAGACAGTAAACCATCGTATCAGGTGATTGAGGTGAACTGGGCTGTGTGCTTTTGGCCATTGCCCTTAGGAATCCAGTTGAACCTGATACTCTTGGGATTCAGAGACTGACCATTGATAACCACCAGAGGGGAGAAAGTGACTGTGGCAGCCCTTTCCAGCATGGGGTATTTGAGGTGCTTTGCTGTGTGTGTGAAGTTGCCTATGTTACTGCCCTTCCTTTGCTGGATGTTGGGCTGGACCTGGCTCCTCTGGCCCAGTGTGAGATTGAAATCCAGACCCTAACCCTAGTGTCATGATTTTGGACCCCGAGTCCAGAGTTTAGAAAGGGAACGGAGAAGAACACTAGAAAGGGCGACGAGAGACCCTTATTTTGGCTGTGTGGAGGCCCTAGGCAGCTGATGGTTTTGAAGTGTCACTTGATTCTTTCAATCTTGCTGCAGCCTCACATCCTGGGGGGGCAGGGCAGTGATGGTGAGGGGTGCAGACTAGGAGGGCCCATCAGGGCTGTGCTCCCAGCCCTAGGACAGTATACTCTAGAGGTGAGTGCTGAGGGCTGTGGCTGGGCCTAGCCCTGGAGTCCGTGCCCTTCTTGTCTGGCCCAGGTGAAGCAGGGGGGCACTAGGACCCAGAGGCTAGCACCGTTCCTGACAAGTCTAGAGCAGCACTAGCGCAGAGTGAGTCTCATCAGCTGGCAAGCAGGATTCGGTGTCTCTGGGTTCAGGAATCCTCGGGCAGCAGAGGGGACTTGCTCCTCAGTCCTTATTTCTACCCCTACCCCTGCCCCAGCAGGTCCATGGACTGGGGAAGGCCATACCTGATGGCTTCTGTGTCTGTCCATGAGGGCCTGGAGCCCTGACCCTCCTGCCTAGGTTTCTGCCTTTTCTCTCTGTCTTTGGCCAGCCGGGGAGGGGGTAGAGGCCGTAGAGGCCAGGTGAGCAACATGGCCCAGAGCAAGAGGCATGTGTATAGCCGGGTAAGTGGCCTTGATCTGGGGTGGCCCTGGGAGGGCTGCTGGGAAAGGCCTGGGTGCCTGTGGACATTGCTGTGGGGGCTGGGGAGACTGGCTGGAGCTGGGATGGGGCCACTCGCAGCCCTGATGGTGTTAGGCTAGGCAGGCTTCCTCTCCCAGAGTTGGGCCCTCTGTGGGGACTGGGGAGGCCTGACCTTTGACTCTAATTGGACCTCAGGCCAGAG